CTAGGCCCCGTCGCGCCCCCTAGGCCCCGTCGCGCCCCCCCTGGGCCCCGTCGCGCTCGTTAGGCCCCGTCGCGCCCCCCCTGGGCCCCGTCGTGCCCGCTGGGCCCCGTCGCGCCTCCTAGGCCCCGTCGCGCTCCCCCTAGGCCCCGTCGCGCCCGCTGGGTCCCGTCGCGATCCCTAGGCCCTAACGCGCCCCCGCTGGGCCCCGTTGCGCCTCCTAGGCCCCGTCGCGCCCCCCATGGGCCCCGTCGAGCCCGCTGAGCCCCGTCGTGCCTCCTAGGCATCGTCGCGCCTCCTAAGCCCCGTCGCGTCCCCCCCCTCTGGGCCCCGTCGCGCCTGTTCGGCCCAGTCGCGCCCCTCCTAGGCCCCGTCGCGCCCGCTGGGCCCCTTCGCGCTTCCTAGGCCCCGTCGCGCCTGCTAGGCCCCGTCGCGCCCCCCCTGGGCCCCGTCGCGCCCGTTAGGCCCCGTCGCGGCCCCCCTGGGCCCCGTCGTGCCCGCTGGTCCCCGTCGCGCCTCCTCGGCCCCGTCGCGCCCCCCCTGGGCCCCGTCGTGCCCGCTGGGCCCCGTCGCGCCCCTTAGGCCCCGTCGCGCCCGCTGGCCCCTGTCGCGCCTGCTGTTAGCGCTCGCCCGCCTGGCCTCCTCCTAGTGCCGCTCGGCCTCCTCCTAGTGCCGCCCGGCCTCCTCCTAGTGCCGCCCGGCCCCTTCCTAGCGCCGCCCGGCCTCTCCTCAGCGCTGCCCGGCCCCTCCTCGTGCCCGACCGGCCCCAGCAGCACCAGCCTGGCCCCTCCCAGCACCAGCCCGGCCCCAGAGCACCTGCCCGCCTCCCCTGCTCGGCCTGCCGTGTCCTCTCGGGCCCTGTGTCTTCTGCTTGCCTGCGCTGGGACGCCTAGCTGCTGCCCTACTAGAGAGTGCTGCCGCCGTGTCCCCGCGCCGCTGTGCTCCTGTGCCGCTGAGGAGCTGTGCTGCTGTGCCGCTGTGTCGCTGAGGAGCTGTGCCGCTGACCCTGCACGATGGCTGACTTTGTGCTCCGCCTGGACGCTGAGGGCCACGCGGTTGACTTCGCCGCCTGGCTCTCCGATCTTCGCCGCCAGCTTACAGGTCAGCGCCAGGATGGCCACTCTCTGGTTGTCCATGCTGATGGCTTGCTCCCCCGTCCCCATGCACCTACTCCCCTCCCTGCTGACCCCTCCTCTGATGACTGTGAGGCTTTCTCTACTGCTGCGCTGGCCTGTGCGATCTGGGACTCACGCGATGCAGTAGCTCAGGTTGCTATTAGTCACGCCCTCCCTGTGTCTGGGCGCTCGCGTTTTGCTACTGTTGAAACGGCCAAAGATAATTTAGACGCCGTTATTGCTCGCTATTCCACCCCTGCCTCCGCTTCTGCTGGCCGCTTGCTCTTTCCGATGCTGTTCCCAGACCTGGCTGCCTTCCCTACTGTCGCAGATTTTGCCACTCATTTGCGTGCCCTAGAGACTCGCTATCGCACTGCCAGCACTGCTGCCCAGCTCACTGCGCTCCCCCCTCCTTTCTGCATGACGCTCTATTTTATCGCTATGCGCCTGCCAGACCGCCTCGCTAGTGCTCGCGACCACTTTCTTAGCCAGCACCCGGGTGACCTCACCCTGACTGCCTTTGTTGACACCCTCACTGAGATCGAGACTCGCCAGCGCACTATCGCTCAGTCGAGCGGTGCGCCGCCAGTCTCTATCTTTCACGGCTGTGCCCCATCCCCGTGCACGTTCACTGACGTTTCGGCTGCGGTCGCCACGGCGACCCCTCCTCCTTGAGCCTCTGGTACTCCCCATTCCCCCCTCTCCCACGCCCCCCCCACTCTCCCCCCCCATTTTCTCCCTCCCCCCTCCCCCCACCCCTCTCTCTCCCACAGTTCATCAATGTTGGCTGTACAGTAGATGCGGACACACTGACAGGCTGGCTGCGTCAGGCTACCATCAAACAATAAGGGAACGAAAATGACGACGTCACTCTGAGGCGCGGCTCATGGGCTCGCTTTGGTTGACATGATATGATGGCAGTCCAGGCCAGCAGGTGGTGAGCCTGTGAACGACCATGAGCTTGCTGGTTGGCTCTCTTTGGCTGACCACGAGATGATGGCGTGACGATTGCTGAGGCGCATCAAAAGCCGATGGGATTACTTTGGTTGACCACGGAATGAAAGGTGGCAGTCAGGCCAGCAGGTGGCGGTGGGCCTGCGAAAAAGCAGGCAGGTGGAAAGAGAAAGGTAGAAACAGAGAGAGGTGGAGGCAGAGGGGGAGAGAATGAGGTGGAAATAAAGAGATGGATTAGAGAGGTGGTGGAGCATACTTTGATAATATGGGATAGGGTGACTCATAAGCGACGCGCCAATATGCCGCCTGCGATGCTAATCAACTTCTGGCATAAATCCTGACCTTGAACTCCGCAGCCCATGCAAAATCCCACGCTAGGGAGTCACCCATCTCGAGGCGTCGTCTCTTCGGGGTGACTCAGAAGCTCATCATCATTGTTCCCCCCAACCTTGAGATGCCCCATTCACTTTGCACCCATCTTTCTCTCCAAGCAAAGTTAAATTCCAAGTCTTCTCGAGCCTCCCCCTTCAGCCTCCTCCAAAGCTCAAGCCTGATCCGCAACAGAATCCAGCCATCAGCCTGCAATCAAGCATGGGCCTCAGAGGCGACTTTCCAGTCGACTCAATAGTCACCTCAACTCAAGCGATTCCGCAACAGAATCCAGCCATCAGCCTTAAATCAAGCATCAGCCTCAGTTTGGCTGCTTCCTTGCTCGGTTTGACTTGGAATCCAACTTTGCCCGGGGAGAAAGATGGGTGGTTGGAGAACGATGGGTGGTTGGAGAAAGATGGGTGGTTGGAGAAAGATGGGTGGTTGGAGAAAGATGGGTGGTTGGAGAACGATGGGTGGTTGGAGAAAGATGGGTGGTTGGAGAAAGATGGGTGGTTGGAGAAAGATGGTGCATCCCTGTGCTCTTACTTTGTGACGCCTTGGAATCCCGCATTGCGTAGGAAGAGCATGAGAGACATGATGCTTGAAGAGACGCTTCACTGCAGGAGGAGAAAGGCGGGGTGCTTACCAATGCCTTAAAGCAGGAAACAGATGGGTGCTTAGTAGATGTCTAACAGCAGCAGGCTAAAATCAGAGAAAATGCGGATGCTTACGGGCACCAACACACAGGAGCCGAATGAGTGTTCAGAGACGCCTCAAAACAAGAGACTATTGAGTCGACTCAAAAAGATGTCTAAAAAACAAGAGCAATACGGGTGCTTGTCAATGTTTCTTGCAAAGAATGCCACCTGAAGCAACAGACAGCTCACCTGAAGCCACAGACAGCCCACCTGAAACCATAGACAGCCAACCCGAAGCCACAGACAGCCCACCTGAAGCCACAGACAGCCCACCCGCAGCCACAGACAGCCCACCTGAAGCCACAGACAGCCCACCAGAAGCCACAGGCGGCCCACCTGAAGTCACGGACAGCTCACCCGAAGCCACAGACAGCCCACCCGAAGGCACAGACGGCCCACCTGAAGCCACAGACAGCCCACCCGAAGGCTAGCCCGAAGGGACCTCCTGCAGATGATCATTTGTTCTTCTGAGGCGCTTCAATCCCCCGAGTATCCCCCTCGATATCATCATCATCACATCCGGACTGGAGATCCTGAGCAGTCGAATCGTGAGCCGCCTCAAAACTAGACTTCTATCGCCCGAGCATCCCCCTCGAGACCATTATTGGCAGGCGAGTTGCTTGCGGCTGAGGTGTCACGCGTCACAACTCGTCGATTCCGTTTCTTTGGATGCAGTTCGGTTCCTCAGTTTTTGATAAGTTTCTCTGTGATTTTGTGCTCTGAAATACGGTACAGAGCTTTTCATAAGTTTCCACATGAGAATAGCAAGCCTCCGTGGAAGGCGACGCGCAACCACCGACACACCTATCCACACGGCAAATGTCGCAACATCTCAGTAGATTATGGCGTGTCCGAAGAGTACGTATACTGTACGACTTTTTACGGTAGGATTGGGTGCCTGGTGGTTTAAAGCGGTGAAGTGAGAAAACTGTTTTCCATCGTGGAGTGGAACCGTTCTGAACCGTATTGAATGTACCAGAAACGTCCTCTTTGGTTCGGACCAGGGCTTATGCTAGGTTTTTCGCTAGCCTGGACGATTTGGGCCCCTCTGGGAAAGCCCCTGTAAAATCCGAGCCAAGCCGAGGATGAATCAGGGACTGGACCGGAAAAGGCCTTAGCGCCACCAATTTCTGGGGGATAGGGCCCCAGCCGAGGGGGAAATTTTCAGCTCTAGGAGCATCTTCCTAGAGTGACCGATTCACCCTGCTCCAATAGTCAGCCGCCTATGGGGGGGGGGGGGGGGGGAAATGTGTTGGGTGTTAGGGAGGTGAGGGAGCTGCCTACGGTCTTTGCAAGCAATTTAAGACCGTGCTTCGTGGCTAAGTCTCCAGGCACAGGTTGAGGGTCTTAGGGACAGAGGGGAAAGGCGAGGGGCTACTTGGGGGGATCAAGAAGAATCAGAGAGTATCTATCCCCGTCCCCCCGTCCCCCTGAACCTTCGAAATGTCCGGGTTCGGTCACAAGATTCCCGGACGTGTCCGGGTCGTTACATACAATGCCCTGCACTCGTCAGGGCTGGCCTTCAAAAACATGATTGAAATCCGGACTGCTCTGTGAAATACCTTGGATTTTCAGTCAAGACAGGGTGATAGCCCTGTTATTTTCAGCCCTGGTTCGGACACGCCCTTAGGACCAGAGCTGATATTTGTACACGCCCGTTCATTGGGACTCGGGGAGCGGGTGGAGTGGGGTGGGGTGGTTGGGGAATCGGTCCGGTCGGGAGGCATTGGAGCGAGGGTGTGGCTCTACCACGTGTCAAATGCGCGTGTCAGGCCACCTGACATGGGTCTGTAAAGACTGCTCGGGGAACATCACCCCCAGCTCACACACATCATTGGTGAGTTTCCAAGGCGTGGGGTGGACTTCGAGTCGAGCCCACCAAGTTGCGCCCAACAAGACTAGATACCTCCACCTCAAGGCCTTTCGGAGGCCTTCTAGTGCGACACGCTGGGAGAACTTCGCGAACCGGACCGATCTCTTCACCTCCTTTTGAAAGGGTAGCTCGTCGCCTGCATTCGTACTGCTAATAGTAACGTGGCTGCGTTGCGGGATGATGCACCGGCGCGCGTCGGAATGGAAACAGATGAGACTTTTGACACAGCAGCGGCAGACGGAGGCTGGAGACACGAACAACGGGCCGCAGCAGGCGCCGGTGAGCCTCTCCCCCCGGAGCTAGCGCAATGGCGGGAGTCGGAACCCGCCCAGCCAGCATCTTTTGTTCCGCCGGACAGAGGCGGGAGACACGAACAACAGGCGCCGGCGGGCGGTGAACCTCTCCCCCCGGAGCTAGCGCAATGGCGGGAGCAAAAGGAATCGCTCCAATGGATTGGCCCGTCAGCGCAGCCGGCGTCAGCATGGCTCGCGCGCACGTGGACACAACCGCAACAGCCGCAACAGCCGCAACAGCCGTCGTTGGTGCGGCAGCAGCAGCAGCCAATGCCGCCGCCGCAGCAGGACCACGAGCCGCCAAGACAGGATCTGTCGAAACGAGCCGGACTTCCACAACAATTACCGCGCGCCGATTCGTTGCGCCAGCAGCCGCAGCTGCCGGAGCTGTCTTGGGGAGAGGGAGACAGCGGCGGGCGCGCGGTTCGTTTCGGCGATCCCGGGTCGCTGGGCTTCCGCGTGATGTTTCTCGATCGCCGCGATCGCATCGTTTCGCCGTGGCACAACATCCCGCTGTACGGCGAGAACAGCTGGCTCAACTGCGTTTGCACCACGCCCTCGGGAAGTTGGGTAAAACACGACTTTGCCCCCGAGGAATACACCCCGCTGCGCGTCCCTCCGAAGGGCGGCGACCCGTCGCACTTCCGCGACAACGCCACGTGGAACCTCGGCCTCCTGCCGCAGACGTGGCAAGATCCGGAGGAGCCCGTCGAGGGATTCGCGGGAATGACTGGCTGCGGCGGGCCCGTGGAGGTGATAGACGTTTCGGGCGGGCTGCCCGCGGAATTAGGGCAGGTGTACACGATTAAGCCGCTGGGGGTGATTCCGGTTGTGCGGGAGGGTGGGTTGGCGTGGGTGGTGGTGGGAATTGGCACGGGGGATTTGTTGGCGAGCCTGGTGAACCACGTGGATGACGTGTACGCGCTGCTGCCGGGGACCATGGAGGCCGTCATGCATTGGCTCGCCATCTGCGACGCCACTGAACCCGGTGAGTGAAGCTGCTTGCGAGATGACTTTTGAGTCGACTCAAAAGTCATCGCGATTAGTAGTCAGCTTGCGTCGTCAGCTTCCTCCGATCGCCGCTAGACTTTAGTTTTGGGTTCATGTCGCATTGTCTGAGAGGAAACGCCATGGCTGGCCGCCTTTGCATACCGCAGTCTATCCCCCGTCTCCCCGGTGTCAGAGAATCGCCAGGCGCTGATAGGGAGTGCTCACAGCCACGGCACGTACAGGGCCCTGGAGGTGGTGGCTCAGGCGCATGCCTCCCACTTTCCAGTCTCACGTGGCGGTTTCTGATCCCCGGTCCTCACTGCTTCCCATCCATGCTTCCCATCCATGCTTCCCCTCTTCAGGCGATCGCCAGGCGTTGATAGCCACTGACGACAGCTTTGGCACGGAGAAGGCTCTGGAGGTGGTGGCTGAGGCGCACGCGGCGTGGCAGCTGTTCCTCCACAGCAATGTTCAGCCGGAGCCCTGGCGGCCGGACCTAGACGTCTTCTCCACCCACGTGCTGCAGGCCTGCTGGCGCAAATACACGGACGGCCAGAGCACCGTGGCTCTCCCTGTGTCGTGTGAGCGGCGGGAGGAGCGCCTTACTGGAGATGCTGATAGCGCGGATAAGAGTTTGGAGGGTGGTTTGATGGGGTTGGATTCGGTTAGTGGAGGTATGGGGGGTGAGGGGGGGAGTCAGAGCTGGGTGGAGAGCCCTGCGGGTGTGGAGAAGGGTGTGGCAGCAGCAGCAGGGTCTAGGCGGGGTTCTGAGAAGGTGCCAAGGAGCAAAGGCGGAAGGCTGGGTAGAACATCACCGTCGGCCGTAGCACCTGCTGCTGTTGCTGCTGCTCCCTCTGCTGCAGGAGCATCTGAAACCGCAGCAGCAGCGGCGGCGTCTACAGCAACAGACGCATGTGCCACCACCACTGCCAAGGGCTCGAACAAAATGAGCTTCTTTAGATCCCGCCTCCCCAGCCTACCGCCTCCCCCGCCGCCATCCCACTTCGAAGACGTCCTCTCAGCATCAGCGTCAGCGTCAGCCGCATTTGCAGCGAGACACCCCAGCAGCCTGGAAGGAGGCGGCGGGGGGCACGGGAACAAGTTCCGAGCCTGGAGCCCTCTAGGTTTGGTCCGATCCAAGTCCCCTGGCAGCCAGAGCAAGGCGTCAGGAATGACCAGCCCGATTTTCGGAGGTCTGGGGAGACACAGTGCAGGCAGTCAGTCGCCTGTGGGTGGTAGACCACCCAGCAGCCCGTCTCCCGGGGGTTGTAGACCACCAAGCAGCCCATCTCCCGCGGGTGGTAGACCACCCAGCAGCCCAACTCCCGCGGGTGGTAGACCACCGCTCAGCAGCAGCAGCAGCGCGTCGCCAGGGGGACAGAGGGGGCGGCCCACTAGGTCTCCCAGGGAGAGGGTTCCGCCCATGTCTCCCAGGGGAGGTTCTGCTGGCGCTGCAGTGTCAGCTGCTGGGGACGGGGTGTGGGTAAGCGGTAGTGCGGTTGGCTGTGGTGCTGCTGTGGCTGGTGGTGCTTCTGGTGCAGCTGATTTTGAGGCTGCTAGGGTAGATGGTGATGGTGCCACTTCAGCAGTTGCTGCCACTGCTGCTACCGCTGCTGCTGCTGCTGCTGCTGAATCCGGGTCTGCTTCTGGAAGTGGTGGCAGCAGTGGTAGGAGCCGGTCCCTGCATCGCATGGTGTCTCCCCGAGGGCTGCGCCTGCCTGAGCTGCCCAAGAAAGGGCTTCACTTGTCAGAAATGGCCAAGACAGGCCTGCACCTGCCTGCCGTGTCCCCCCGCGCGCTGCACCTGCCAGAGGTAGTGAAGAGAGTTATGGGCGGATTGACTAGCCGGACTGCAAGCGAGGAGCAGAGCGAAGGCAGTAACCAAGGTGGGGACACAGTCTCGGACACAAACAGAGGCAAAAACCGTGAGGAGGGAGGTCTGTTGGTAGCCCAGTCTAGGGAGGCAGATGCTGGGAAGAGCTTGAATGCTGGTGAGCTTGAGAGGTTAGTCGTGGGGCTGGTAGAGGGGGACGATCCGTACTGTGCACGGTCCAGAGAGGGAGGTGCTGGGAACAGGAATCTTGGTGAGGCTGAGAGGCTGCGTCGGCACCGCAGTGAGAACCAGTCTGCTTTTGAGAAACTGTCCCAGATATGGCCCGGGCAGGGGGGAGGTCCCGAGGTTGAGATGCTGCTGGTGGGGCTGCTAGAGGGGGGAGATCCGCACACAGCACAGTGCAGAGAGGGGGGTGCTGAGTTGAGAGAGGGGGTTGCAGGCAACAGCTTGAATGCTGGTGAGGGTGAGAGGCTGCTGGTGGGGCTGGTAGAGGGCGGGGATCCACACACTGCGCAGTGCAGAGGGGGGGGTGCTGGGATCCTGTATCCTGGTGAGGGTGGGAGGTTGCCTCGGCACCGCAGTGATAATCTGTCGGGGCATTACTCAGCGTACTCGCACGCGCTGCTGACTCCACTGAAGGGCGGCGGTGGAGGAACAGGCGGATTGGGCGCAGCAGAGAGAGCAGGAGCTGCAGAAGGAAGAGCAGTAGCAGAGGGAGCAGGCTCAGCAGCGGAAGCAGCTGCAGCAGAAGACTTTGTGCCGATGCCGGTAGCACAAGGGCCAGGAGCAGGAGCAGCCGTAGCAGCAGTAGAGTCCGGCCACTGTAATGTGGCATTTGAGGGCGCAATTATGGGGGGCGCAATAAAGGGGAATCTGCCCCAGGAAGGAGGGCAGCGTGGTTATAAATCCGAGGTTCCTCATTCTGTGACTGCACACCTGGCATTTTCGGTACACGGGAAAGCCTCTCCTAAGGAAAAACACGCCGGTCTTGTAGATAAGCAGGCCTTTCCTGCTGCTGTGGACCACAGGCAGGCCCAGAGGCAGAGATGGATGCAGCAACAATATCAGCAGCATCATCACGAGCAGCCGAATCACAAGCAGCAGCAGCAGCAGGGCGACTGTAGAGCTCCTTCAACAGCACTGGCCGGCATCTTTCGGCGCACTGTCTCCGCCCCGCGTTCCTCCCACCGTCCATCCCAGGCCTCCACCACTCCCCTCCCTGCTCCCCGCCCCGCTCCTCGTTCCCCACCCGCCTTGCCCAACGACCCTCAACCCTCCCAATCGTGTGCCCCTGCCCATCGCCGCTCCTTCTCTTTCTCCGGATCAGACAGTTTTGACCTAAGTGACTTGAGCGCTGACCTAGCTGGCTTGAGCATGGAGGTAGCTGACTCCAAGTTGGAGAATGCTGACTCAAACTTGGAGAGTTCTGGCTCGAATTTTGAAGTCTCCGGCTCTGCCACTCATGCTGACCCTGCTTTGCACTCTCGAGCCGTTTTTCCTGCATCCAACGCGGGAGGCCTGCCGACGCAGATGCTGCAAGCACTAACCTACCAGCAGCGTCAGCAGCTGCAGCAGCAGTTTCAGCAGTATCAGCAGCAGCAGCAGCTGCAGCAGCAGCTGCAGCAGTATCAGCAGCAGCAGCAGCAGTTTCAGCAGTATCAGCAGCAGCAGTTTCAGCAGTATCAGCAGCAGCAGCAGCAGCAGCAGCTGCAGAGTTGGATGTACGAGCCGCATCATTTACCATATAGACTGCAGCAGCGGCAGCAGCAGCAGCAGCATCACCAGCATCAGCTCCAGCAGCAGCAGCAGCAGCAGCAGCAGCAGCGGTGCCTAGATTTCACCCAACCTCTTAGCCTGCCTCTGCCAGAGCGCCAGGGAGGCGGATGGGGCAGCGAGGGAAGGGAGGGAGGCAGACCAGCAGCTTTGGAACGCCTTGGTGGTTTTGATGGCGAGTGTAGGCCGGATTTTCGTGGTGGTGGTGACAGGTGCAGTGGCAGCAGCAGCAGCAGCAGCGGCGGCGGTGGAGGCGGCAGTGGTGGCAGACGCAAAGGGGATGAGCGGGTGGGAGGGTGTAGTTTGGTCGGTGGCGAGGCCTGGATTGCCCAGCAGCTTGTGAGAGGGGGAAGCAGTAACTTTGAGGCTGCAAGAAGCACGAGTGAGGAGGAGAGGGAGGAGGATTTGAGGGAGTTGGATGTGGGTAACCTGGTGATGAGGCGGAGTAGCAGCGAGGGGCGAGGAGATGCAGTGGGGGAGCCGCAGGGGTTGAGGGGTCTGATGAAACGGCAAGAGGACGATGAGGGGGAGGAAGGTGAGGGGGGGGAAGGTGAGGGGGAGGAGGGAGGGCAGGAGGCGGATCTGAGGGACTTGGATGTTGTGGGCTTGGTGCTGAGGGGCGGAGGAGGGGGTTCAGGAGGAGAGAATGCTGCGTTGGATGTGCTTAGCGGGGTGCAAGAGGGAGAGATGGTAGGGGAGCAGCATGGGCACCTGGGACAGCAGATGCAGGGGAGGCAGCTGGTGCAACAGAGGCAGCAGGAGTGGCAAGAGCAGCGGCAATGGCGGCACCATCAGCAGCTGTTGCAGCAGTTTCAGAATCAATGGTGGTGGCAGCAGCAGCAGCAGCATGAGAAGCCAAAACAGCAGCAGAGACAGGAGCAGAAACAGCAGCAGAGACAGGAGCAGAAACAGCAGCAGCAGCAGCAGCAGCAGCAGCAGCAGCAAAGGCTGCCACAGCCATGCTTTGACTACACCAACCCACGGCCCAGCATGCAGACTGCTCCGTACAATCCCACCCAGCCCAACAGAGACGCCGGGACACCTACAGGCACCGGCACAGAGGCAGGGGGAGAGGCGGGTCAGCTAAGGCGCAGTCAGACGGAGGACTGGGGGGCACACGGGGCTCTTGAGTCGACTCAAAAGGAGATTGAGGACTGGAGAGCACACGGGGCGATGGTGGGTGAGGCAAGGGGGCAGTATGCCAGTGCTGGTGCTGGCAGGTTTGGAAGCAACAGCGCAGTGGCAGCAGCAGCAGCAGGCGGAGATGGAGTGGCAGAGGGAGGAAAGCTGAGGCGCAGTCACACAGAGGACTGGAGGGCGAACAGGGCGTTGGTGCGTGACGCGAGGGGGCAGCATGAGCAGCGCGTTGGACAGGCTTTTGGGCCGCCTGCTGAAGGGCCGTCTGGCCGGCCGTTTGAAGGGGCTTTTGGGCGGCATGTTGAAGGGGCTCTTGGGCGGCCTGTTGAGGGGCATTTTGTGCGGCCCTCAGATGAACGGCCGCCAGAAGCTGGGTTCGCTGCTGCTGCTGCCGGTGCTCCCGCTGATGCTCTTAGGTTTGGGTTTGGGAGCAGTGGGGGAGCAGCAGGAGGAGCAGAGGCTTCAGCAGGTGAGGGAGTCTGTGGCGGAGTGTGGTTCCCCTCTGCTGCGGAGTGTGGATCAGCGTTGTATGGCCGCAGCATGACCCTTGACAGGCAGAGTTACAGGGGCCGGGGCACAGCCATGGGCATTGGAATGGGGATGGGCACGGGTATGGGGACGGGTATGGGCATGGGTATGGGGATGGGCATGAGTATGGGTATGCAGACGGGGATGCAGATGGGCATGCCGATGGGGATGCCGGTGGGGATGCCTCAGTTGGAGCGCAGGCGGACAGTGAGCAGGGTGCATTTCAGTGAGGACGTGGATGTGGTCATGTTTGACGAGGCTGATGTGGCGTCCGCTGTGCTCCGAAGCTGACGTGGCGTTTGCCAGTCCTGCAAGGCTGACTTGGCGTCTGCCGGTGCTGTGGTCTTAGCGTCTGCAAGCTGGTGTTGCCGCTGATGGAAAACTAGTGGTGGACGTCACGCTCTTCCACACCACGACAATAAATGGCAATAGTTGTGCCTTCTTGGCGCAATGAGCCTTATGTATAGCAATGGTTGCTATACACTATGCCGTGCCCAGGGCTGACTTTATCAGACTATTTACTCTGATTAGTCTGAAATCTCAGACCGGTTTTTTGGCTAAACCTGAATTTCCAGATAAGGCATTTTCCCAATCCTGATCGATTCAGACTTAGACTTTAGGGATCCTGAAAAAATCAGAGTTCACGCTAACCCAATACTGAGTTTTCAGAGTACATCGGGTACGAACCCTGAAACAGATTTCCACGGGGCACGCAATATCCCTAGAAATTCGCATGCCATCAGTGATTCCCGCCCGCGTCACGTGGAGAATCCACACTTCCTTGCAAAATCCGCCAAGTCGAATGAATACTCTGCCCACAGTGGGCACTCTGCTACCCAGCGCGGCAAAAATGCTGCCACGCCGAGCCACTAAGGACCACAGATTCTGCTCTGTTGCTCTCTGAGCATGCGCGAACCTCGGGCCCGTGCCCTCTGTGCCAGCCTTGCAGAGGTTGGCCATCATCCCCATTGGCTGCAGTTGCAGCCAACACATCGACTAGGCAGCATGGCGCTGTGTTGTGCATGGACAAGTCCCGAAACCGCGTCACGCCTTTCAAGAAAGGTGCGACACGGGTTTGATGGACCCCTTCTTCTCCAGTTGTTCCTTACCCACCAGCTTCGAACGCACTGCTTCAGGTTTTAGAGGGGAAATCCTCCATGTTGTTCATTTCGACACAGGCGTAGTTGTAGTCACTGTCTTCATTTCCTACACGTCGTTTCTCCTCTCGCCATGCCTGAAAAGGATGGCGACGACGATGCTCCAGCTGACGGTGATGAGCCGCGCAGCAGTAAGGTTCCTGTCGTTGCGCCAAGGAGCGCCCTAGACGTCTTGCGGCCCGTTGCCGCATCGGCTCCTCTGCCTTTTGTCGCCACAACCGTTGTAAACGAGACCCCACGCGATGAGCCATCGTTGCCTAGTAGACCTGCCCCCGCTCCCTTCGTTCTCCCACCAGCCATAGCATCTTCTAGCAGAAGACCAGTGGATCCTATTGACTGCGCCACTGCCTCTACCGTTCGTTATAGTGTGCCCTGCGCATCGACTGTCTCTTCGGCGAAGAAACAACGTACGACGAAGTATACACAGCAGCGTATCAACCATGGTGGCCAGATTCGCCCTCCCTCACCACCGCGCTCACCTACCCCCGTCACCCGCCCTGATGAACCGCCGCCACCGAGGCTAAGTACAGAGGAATTGATCGAGCAGAAGTACCTAGTCGCGGAGGCTAAGTATAAGAATGATTGGCTGCGTTATTTCCCATGGCTTGTACTTACCCGTACTAAAGATGGCTACCCCGCTCTTAAGTGCAGCGTTTGCCGAGCCTTCGGTAAAGAAACGACGAAGTATTCAAGGCCAGGCGACGGCGGGCGAGATCTCCAGACACAGACGATGCGCATTCATGAACACTCGACAGTCCACGAAGCGGCAGTTCGCCGGCAGCTCGAGATTCAAAAGGAAATTGAAGACAAGCAGCAGAAGATGACAAGCTTCGCCACCGTCGATGTCGAAGGCCGCCGCGTCATCCGTCTTTTGCGGTGCGTGGAATTTCTTTGCAAGAACGACGCTCCTATCGCCATGTTTCCCCGGCTGCTTCGTTTCATGGCAGAGCAAGACACACCAGACATACCTCTCCAGTCGTACGGAGTGTATCTCACCAGGTAAGGCTACCTGGCTTTCGCCGGTTGATGGTTGGATGTTGATATGAACCTTGTAAATTTCAATGCATTTCCAATGCTAATTAACCAGTGTCTCACTTCTGATTATGCCACTGCAGGTACGGGTTCCAGCAGATGGTCAACTGTCTCTCTACGCATCTGCTGGCTACTCAGATGGAGCATATCAAGAGCTCACCTTACCTCGGCATCTCATGCGACGAAAGCACCGACCGCACGCGGGGAAAGCACTTGATCGTCTACATCACATTCATGCGGCTGCGTCGAGTCGTCACCGAATTCCTAGCCCTGCTAAACGTTGACAAGTGCGACGCCGCTTCTCTTATGGCCACTCTCTTAGCCCACCTGGAGTCGTCCGGCATCGACCTTCAACGCATCGTTGGCATCAGCACAGACGGCGCGTCGGTGATGGTCGGCCGAGACAACGGGCTTGTGGCGCGACTGCGAGACATCATCCCGCACCTTTTTTCCTCCCACTGCATCGCCCACAGGTTTGTTAAAGTATTCCTTGCTGTCTGTTTATGCTTTTTATGTTTCTGTGTGCTAACCACTACCCATGTCGGTACATGCAGAGAAGCACTTGCTGTGAAGGATGCTGCCGCTTCATGTCCAGACCTCGACATGGTCGACAAAGTCACTCGCACCCTTGCGGACCTTCTCGGCCGGTCGAGCGTATGGAGCAGTCGTTTCAAGCATCTGCAGCGGGCGATTCACAGCACCAACCTTGAGGTTCAAGGCATCCATCAAGTTCGATGGTTGTCCAGGGGAGAGGCAATCCGACGCCTGTGTAAAGTGTTGGGTGCTGCGATTGTTCTGCTGTATGAGTATGAGCATCCCCTGTATGAGGTTGTGATTTCGTATAAGTTTCAGTTTTGCCTCTTCTACCTGGCCGACATGCTGGCACTCATGAACGACCTCAACCTCAAGTTTCAGAAGCGAGAGGTAAGATGCTCATGTTTGCAAGCATGGTGTTCTCCTCTGGTGCAAGTACTCATGTCTTTCCCTCCTCTGTGTCCCCCCCCCCTCACACCGCAGGTCGATGTCACAGAGGTGGCAACGGACATCGACGCGACACTGGGGGATCTTCGGCACCGCTATGTCGACTTCGGGGAGATTTTCGGTGTCGGCGCCGAAAACATCTGGCTCTCGGCGTTCCTCACGGTGTACGGGCGCGGCGGAACGAAGCGGGTGAAGGTGCGCGGTATCGACTTGGAGGGGAACCCCGTCACCCATACGTACAAGATGCACGAGCGGCACCTCGACAAGCACCAGTACGGGAGCAGCTACAAGGACTGCGTGCAGCTGTGCCAGAAGCACGCCAAGGATACCATGACCAACGTACAAGAGCGGATGCTGGATCTGCGCAAGATGTCGCCGACGAAGCTCTGGGTGGCGGCGAAGTGGCCGAGACAACGGGCGCAGCGCGAGAAGAAGACGAGAGAGTATCTGCTTGGATGCAGCGGCATCTTCGAGCACAAGCTGCCAGGCTTCGACGTGAAGGCAGCGGAGAGGGAGCTCGCAACTTGGGCGCCGATCATGCAGAATCATCACGAGGTGGAGAGTTTCCACCAAGGCCTGGCAAACTACCTCACGAAGACGGACTCGAGCAGGCAAGTCCAACCATATTGTCGTTTCTGAATCACCACCTTCCATTCTACTTGCCAAGTGTGCACAACATCGCCGCCCTTGCCAACCGCATCTTTTTGTTATCCGCCTTCACTGTATGCATTTCCTACTGCCTTTCTTCCGCCTTTGTTTTTGTGCCCCGTGTCAGGCGCTGGCCCAATCTGATGCGCCTCTGGCAGGCCTGCGCCGTGCTGCCTTTGTCAACCGTCGAATGCGAGAGGGGCTTCTCTCGGCAGAATGTGATTAAGTCCTGGGTCCGTGGCTCACTCTGCAACGCGCGCCTCTCCGAGTTGATGGCCATCTCGCTGCTGCAGTATGACATCAATTGGACCGAAGCCCTAGCGACCTGGCGAGAGAAGCTGAGACGGCCAGCACGATCTGTTGTCTTCGCAAGAGCGGAACGAAAACGCAAGGGGAAGGCCCTAGAGGGTGAGGTGGCGGGGGACACAACGGATGAAGGACAGGGGGAGGTGCCAGAGTACGCGGGGGAGGGGTGGGCTGAGGAGGATGGGGGTGATGATGAGAATGATGCGGCTCCAACATTAGGCGACGACCCTTTCCTGTCCGACGATGAGGGGGGTGATGATGAGATTACTGTAGATGTGCCGGAGTTCTAGGAGCCTGTTAGCTAGTGATTGCTTGGTAGTAGTAGTTGTAGGCTCCTGTCCAATGTAGCAAAATGTAATACACAAGAAAGAGCTCTTCTTAATAACATAAAATGTAACCTGGAATATATTTGCGCGATCCTGAGAATTTCAGAGTTGCACATCTGTGGACTCTGACATTTCAGAGTCCCTAAATTCTGGCTGAAGGCCATTCAAACTTTTTTTTTTTTGGGGGGGGTCAGCTCAGAGTGCCTTTTTTTGAAACGTCAGCCCTGGCCGTGCCGTGCTGTGTGCTGAGGCAGCTCAACCTTGGGTAGAACTTCCACCCCTCTTTCTTCAAATGCACACTAAAGGTTGTAGCGTTAAAGCCCGAGTCTAGAATGGTAAAAAACCGTGTTTACTGACCATGAGAACAGTGCTAAAAACACTGGACTGCACGAAACCAACTTCGGCGAAGCTCCTCTGGCGAAAAAAACTTCTCAGCGAAAAAAAAGGGTCGCTCGCGACACAGAAGGAATCAACAGTGCGCAAACAGTGACGACTTTGGGGGTGGGGGGGCAAACCGTACAAAGCTTTTCCTGCGCAGCGAGTCTCGGCAAAAATGCGTCTAAAATGGTACCAGGCGTTTTCAACTTCAGTATGAGTGAACACTAAGTTCGAGGTTTGTCTCGTATAGCAAAACTTGCCAAATTATATATAATTGTGTAGGCTTCATAGGTGTGCTACAATTACTGGATCCTACTGTAGAGGGTACAACCCTCCCTTTGTTTACCTCTCTTTTTCTAGTCCCACCACCTTTCCTCTCGTAACTTTTCTCCCTAGCTAAAACCTCTCGACATTTCTCATGACTAGCTATTAGGTTCCTAAACTTCTTTCAACATGGTTTCAGAACAGGCCGATCCTGCTGAGCCTTGTCATCACGCTTCTGCAGCGTCCTCTCACCCCTCCCGTCACTTCCGCGCCGCCGTGGCGGCCACGTCGTGCTGCCACGACGGCCTTTATGTGCTGTTGTGGCAGCCTTGACGCGCTGCCGTGGCGTCGATGCCACGCCGTGGCGGCGTCGTCATGCTACCGTGGCGACGTCAACGCGCCAGCGCATGGGCGGCAGCGGGCCGCGCACCGTTGTAGGCGCCAGCCATGACGCCCGCACACCAGTCAGTGCGCCAGCCATGG